TGTCATTTTCAATAATAAATGTTGCAGTTTCTGAAATGAAAATTTATTCAAGTAATGTAGGGTATGTAATGTGATAAGAGCTCTGCAAGGTAATTAAAATACCTTCAGGCGAAGCGAAAGGTGTTAGTGAATTTCAGTGAAATATATAATATATAACACAATTTTCTGTATTTTTTATCTTCTTATTTATGATGTACTGCCTTTGTCTACTAATGTATCTTTCATGCCTCTCTAGGCCTATAATTTTTCAAAAATTTTGATTATTTACCCCTTCCATGGCAAAGATTTTAAGCATTTCTAAACAAATTGATATTAAGGATGACGTTTACTCAGGTTTCAGAAAACAGAAAGGAAATTTTATAAAGTATAATATTTCAAATAAAAAATTGTTCTAAATAGATAAAATAAGCAAGTTTTAAATCAAAATCAATTTGAAAATTTAATATTCTATTATTTAAAGAAAACATACAGGAACAAAAGTCAATGTATGGTAATGCAGAGGAAATTCGGACTAAATTTTTAATTTTCCATTTTTGTAAAAAAAATTATTTTTTGCAATATTAATCCCAAAGCAAAGGTTACATGTATTTTTAAACATCATTTTGCAACTATTATATGTGTTAAAGCTTATAAATTATTTCAAATAATTGAATGCTGTAAAATAATGAAATTCAAAAATAAGTTCAAAAACAATTTGAGACAACATATCTCAATAATTTGATCATTGATCCCATATAATATTAATACCACGAGAATTAGGGCAACAAAAGTAATCTAAGGCTATCAATAGTTTAGTGTTCTTATCAGTAAGATTTTTGTAATATTCGATTGAAAATGGGGAAAAAATATAAATATGACAGAGGAAATTCGGACTGTAATAATTATTACATTTATGGCCCAAACTCCAATCCATTCTTAATATGAAGCAACGATGTTCCATTGCTGTAATATTTCATTGTTTAAAGAGTTAAGTTGCTTGTAATATTTTGTGTGTATAGAAAAAATTGGTCATAGTGTGAAAAATTGAGATATTTCCACCTGAATCTAGAAATATTCTTCAGGGGCCACTAGCATGAAAAGTAGGTCATTGACCTAGTTATTTGAAATTGAAATTTAACGCAAGAATCATAGGTGTACGATGTGCAATAGGTAGGTTTTCGTTCTTATCAGTGGAATTTTTTGGTCATCTGAGTAAAGGTATACCTTAAGATTTCAACGCATTTTTTCGGGTATTTCTTGTAATTTTTGTATATATCAATGTATATATATTCCGAAAGCAGGTATTGTGTAGTTTCCAAATATGATTATATAAATATAATTTCAGTTGCCATGGCAACGAATTACACAATAATCATGCTTGAATTTCCATTTATTCAAAAATGAGTTTCATTTTGGTTTTTTTTTTTTTTTTTTGCTCAGTTAAATATATTTAAAAATATTTTATTGCTGTGATGAAAATTATGAGCATATTGTACATTATTTAAAAAATCCAATTAAAGTATTTTAAAGAAATGGGGTAGGGTTGGTAGGTACATGTAATCACCAGAATTTAGCATTTTTACATATTAGATGTTACCACCACATTGATTTCGATAATGGCAAAATGGCTCGAATAGTGCACAAAGTTTAAGTCAAGCTAGCAAAATACTGGTACAACCAATAAAAAAATTTTCCATATATTATTTTATTGTAATTATGTTATCTTTCTAACGGTAGTAGAATTATCCTGATATTTTTAGTATTAACGAAGTTATGAATGTTTGAACACAATAAACTAGTTTTTCAAGTCAGATGCGTAGAAAAGCGTATATGCCATGGAAGGGGTTAAAGGTAACGTTATAACGGCCGATGTCTCTGCACTATGTGATCTGTTTTGGTTTCATCGACACATTTAATTTTTTACGCCAGCTTGAGTTTTAATCAGCCAACGAGATGTCTGATGTCATTTTTTATGACATATTGTGTGAAATTTAAATGCCCTATCATATGTCATTTAGAAATTTTTACTGAAGTTGATTTTTTAACAATAAGGTCAATCGTGAAGTTCAAGGGGTCAGAAATCATAACATGCTTGGAAATATCTTGTTATAGGTAATGAGCATGTTAAATATGAAAGCCTTATCTCTTTTCAATACATGTGCGTAAGGAATAAGATATGTTTGTGAAACACTGATGAAACCGTATGGCAACATAGCAAACTTTAAACAAGAAATCCCTAGCACCACCTGTTCAAAAGTTATGGCCAAAGATAAAATTTTGAAAGGTCCAACTCCAAGGTCAAAAGGTCAAAATTGTGAGTCTATTAAGAAAGGTCTTGTCACAAGGTTCGCATATATGAAAACCCTAACCCTAGCAGTTCAAAAGTTATAACCAAGGTTAAGATTTTTAAAAAGTAGATCAATCTTCAAGGTCAAGGACAGTTTTGACATCCAATAAAAGTTCTTCTCACAAGGATTACTTATGTGAAGTATGAAAGCCCTAGCCCTCACCATTCAAAAGTTATAGACAAAGTTATTTTTTTATAAGTACAGAAATCCCCAAGGTTAAGTTCAAAGTTCAAATTAAAGTTCAAAGTTGTTAATATCAAACGAAAGGTCTTGCCACATAGAATACATATGTGAAAAATATGAAAGTCCTAGTATCTAATGTTCAAAAGTTGTGCCAAGGTTAAAGTTTAAAAAAAGGTCAAATTTCTAGGTCAAGGTCAACGGGTCAAAGTTCTTGAAATCCAATGAAAGGCCCTCTCACAAGAATTACATATATTTATAATGAAAACCCTAGCCGTTACCATTCAAAAGTTATGGCCAAGGTTAAAGTTTTTTAATAAGTATGAAATCTCCAAGGTCAAGGTCAAAATGTCAAAGTTGTTGGTATCCAATGAAAGGACTTACCACAAAAAATACATATGTGAAATATGAAAGGCTTAGTGTCTAACATTCAAAAGTTATGGCCAATGTAAAAGTTTGGAACTTTTGTGTAAAAATGGGTCAAACTCCAAGGTCAAGGTCAAAAGGTAAAATTTGGTGGTACCCAAAGAAATGTCTTGTCACTAGGAATACACATGTGAAATATGAAAGGCATAGCTCCACTTTATCAAACGTTATGGACAAGGTTAAAGTTTTTTGTGACGGACGGACATACGGACAGACGTACAGACGAATGAGATTTAATGTCCCCTCGCTTTCGCGAAAGCGGGGGACAATAAGGCTGACCTACCTCGTAAATTTCTTATGCAATTACGCACTGTAAATACTAAAGCTCATTGGAATATATTAAATTCTTCTAATAAAGAGGCAACGAGTGCTGTAGATATTGAAGATGGATTTCAATATTTGAAAGATGTTAATGAATGCAACAATTAGAATGTACTGCATTATCAAACATTAGGGGAAAAAAGTAAATTAATGAATACTACTTTACTACACCAAACATACTTAAAGTTTCTCAACTGATGACAAAATAATACGCTAAGACATTGAAAAAAAACTCTGTAAACTATGTTAATATTTAAAGTATATGATTAGTCTGTCCTCCATGATATTTACCTCGTTTGTTTAATTATTACATGTATTTATTGTATTATATGTGTTTTTCTTTTTCCTGTTTTCTTTCTCTCCCATTTCATTTTCTCCTTATATCATACTTGTACCTCTGACCTGAAGTTATATGCTGTTAATATTTTTATTGTCCTCATGTACCATATATTTTAAATGGTTTTGAGTGAATAAATAAACTTGAACTTGATAAATGAGACGATAATTTAATTAGGCTTTTTTCACGGCCTTATCAAACCAGTTAACTTGACAAGTCAAACTTCTAATTTACGTAATTCGCCAGGTATAAATAAGAGTTAGAACTTTTCAGAAATTTCAGTGCCTTTGTTAAAGGTTTAAAACATCTGAATTTGACGATGACAAAATGATTCATAATGAATTTTCTCCGAAATTATACTTATTAGAAAATGAAAAGTTCTTTTTTGACAATCAGAACTTTGCATCTTATAGGAAGGTCAAAGTTTTTGATAGAGAGAGAGAGATCGCCAACTTCCCTTAATCCCTTACTTATGCAATATACCTTCATCACCTGCATTCGGGGTATATATATCTCAGTTGATTCGATACGCAAGAGCATGGTCTACGTATGAACAATATCGAAAACGAGATAAATTATTGACAAGCAAGTTGATGAAATTTAAAAAATCAGCATTCTCGTTTGAATTCATTTCGTAAGTTCTATGGTCGATACAATGACTTTGTCAGCAAATAAAATTTCATTAAGTCAAATGCTGACTGACTTTTTTCATACGAATCTTTAGTCCATTATTTATACACTGAATTGACGACTGATTTTTCCGTTATTTCCCAATCATGAAAAGGAGCACACGGCGGGTGTGACCGGTCAGCAGGGGATGCTCACTCCACCATGGCACCTGATCCCACCTCTGATGTTTCGGAGGTCCGTGTTTGCTCTGCTCCTATTTTGTATTGTTTAATGGACTTTGAGATTGAATACTGTTCGTAATCTCCATATCCTACATTTAAAAATCATTAAAAGACGTGAAGTGGAATATATTTACAACCTTATTCACTGTATTGCAGCTAAGCATGTACAATCTATTTGATATTATGCTGAAATGTAAATATATAAATCTCCATACTAGTATATCCTTTTGCATAGAAAATTATGATACCTATTTGAGTTTATATTTCATTTCCTGCTTATTTATGATATATGTAAGCTTTTTTGTGTGTTTATTCACAATTGAACTTTTAAATTATTACAGTATATATAAATGTGATAACCATATAATTATATTATATGATATTATATCATATAATATTATTATAGATATTAAATATTAATAAAATAAGGAATATTATATAATTACATAATTATAGCATAAAATATCATATAAACGGAAATAATACATAATGCACTTTTTGGTATATATTTTTTATATAATAATGGACTATGTAAGCTATGTAAGCTTTTTTGTGTGTTTATTCACAATTCTTTAGTTCCTTACCACCTTGTACAACTGTTATTTTGAATTCTGTATTGTTGGCAGGTTTTATATCATGCGCTGGTACCGAAACGTTCCCCATATATTTAGAATCACTGTTCTCTAAACACGTAGAATTCTTATTTTTTGATTTAAACAAAGAAACTGATAATCCAACATTATTTACTTCACGATGATTGCTATTAAGTTTATGTGGGATGATTTGAAGTAGGATCGTATCATCACTTTCAAAGCGCTTGCTTTCGATTCCAAAAAAACCTTCCGTTGAATATATTTCTTTATCATGCAATAATACAGCACCTTTCAAGACGGCTAGGGATGGATCCTCTGGTATGAGAATGTTAAAGTTAGAAAATGTCTTTTTTATTGCATTTTGCAGAGTCGGTGAGTCAGAAAACCCACCAACCATAAGTATAGACTGAATTCCTCTGACATTTGGTAATTGAAGCACTTCGTTGATATGCCCTATTACACCTTCACAAGCTGGTTTAAAGCACTCCTCTAACGTTCTGGTATCAATCCGAAGTTTATGAGCTTTCCACTGCAAACTGTCGTTGTAGATAGACTGGCTTGTACGAAATTCAATATCAGGAAAAGTATCCCAAAAACCGATAGGGATAGACATGTGTACTCTTCTTTTTTTACTGAACAATTCTGCATTTCGTTTTTTGATTTCAAAAATGCGATTTAGCATTAGGTATTCATCTGGATATCGATTAAAATATTTTTCCAATTCTTCCTCTCCTCCCAAAATGTCACAGAACATTTTCTTGAATGCTTCGTCAACACTTGTTCCTCCCCAGTCTCTCCAGCTAGCTCTCTCTAATTCTCTCAGTTTTCCTCCCGCTTTGACCTCCAGGACAAAAATGTCAATAGTTCCACCTATTCAAAATAAGTATTCTTTTGTAAAACAAATGTCCGTTTGGTTTAATTGAGTTTTTACAGTGCAGAATGCATAATCACACATGAGAAAGGGAGAGAGAGAAAATTATCTCTTTCTCCCTCCCCCTCTCTCTATTGTGAAATTTATTCTCAATACTTCCAAAACACAAAAATTACGTCAGGTAGTCAACATATGGATAACATCTTTAGTCACATGATATAACAATTTCTTTAAAGAAGAATCCTATTACTAATGATAATACCTCCAGCATCAAGCACGAGGAATCTACTTCCTTCTTCAAAATGACTTATTTTTTCTTTTGAACCATGAAGTTTTTCAAATGGCAAGTGTGTACACCACATCGAAACAGCCTCCGGCTCAGATCTGATTTTTAATTTGGAACTGTCAATGTTCACCTGTTTTAATATTAACAAATAAAAATAAAGGTATCACGATGAAATAAAACATCAAGATATCTACCAAAAATGTATTTACAAAAAAGCATGGAACAAACGCCAAAAAATGAAATTAAGTATCGTAGCAATCTTTAGTCACCATGTCTGCAACTTTTGTCATGAACTGCATTCCAGAACTGTCCCAGATTGCAGGAATTGTCAAAATCCAGAATATATCTTCCTTTTCAATGAAGATTCTCAGGCGTTCAATGTTTCTAAAAAGGTGGTTCTTCATGAATCTGATAGCATGTGAGAAAACTTCAATGGCCGGTAGCTCTTTATTATGGATGTCTAGAACTGTTGTATTCAAGTTAAGTCCCTTTAAAATGAGACAATGACTGTATATAAATAAGTAGTATTTCATTCAAACTTTATTTAAGGAATCACTGTCTAGTTAGTATAGTATGACAGGGCATAAACAATAGTGGGAAACATGGAATAATTTGCATAACAGGGGAAGCCCGTTATGCATAAATCATCCCATGTTTCCTACTATCATACTATACTAACTAGACAGTGATTCCTTATATATTTCCATTCATTGTGAAACAAAATTGTAGATTTAGACTTTGAAAATGTAAACATAGAGTTAAATTACACGAGGACACCCATGCCAATTTCAATAGTCTTCGCCCACTGACGTCAAACAAAAGGGCAGCCGCACGAGATTTCATGCATATTTGGCCTCCTTAGCGTCAGACACAGAGACAGATGCGCACGAGATTTGCATGCATATTAGGCCTCCTTAGCTCCTGACCTATCGACCTGCCTAATTTACATTCCGGTAGAATTATCAGCTAATCAACTCCGCTAAATTTCAACTTTCAGTTATCACAGAGAAAAAAAATTAGAAATGGAAATACTGTAGACGTACTTATTTCCACGGGGTCATAATTCCGCGGAATCTCAATTTCTGTTTGATCCACTTGTAGAAAATTACACGGATTTCTTAGACTGTCCTTATATTTTTCTAACATTAATATCAAATACGCTTGGACAAATTTCCGCGGAAATTTTCTTACCGCGTACATAGCGTAAATTAATTCCACGCGAAAAAGTACTTTAACAGTATTTAAAAATCACACACACAAAATAAATCAATAAAATATATTTTGATTTATATGGCAAGTCAAACATTGCAATACTCGATCTTTTCCATTTGTTTTGTAAAATTTTCCATTTGTATTGTATAATTTTTACCTGTATTCTATAACTTTCCATTTGTATTGTATAATTTTTCATTAGTATTGTATAATTTTTATTTGCATTGTATAAAAAAACCTTTCTGTGGAAAGACCTATTGATATTGTTCTGTTTTTTATTATTATTATTATTTTTCCGCCGAATGGTTTTTTGTTTCTTAAGATATCGAAAAGATTTATAGTTTATATGAATGTACTTTTAAAATGATTTTTTAGTTAAACCCTGCGTAAATGAACTTTTACCCCTTTTAAAGTTATTGCCCCTTTCGCAAGAAATGCTTGTTATCGCTACTCCTTTGAAACCGTAAACCGTAGAGGTATGAAACCTTCACCAATGTCTTTGACTAATTGAGAGGACTCTGGAATCTATTCATTGCAAAAGTATTCGGTGACTCCTTCAATGAGTTATTGCCCCTGAAAGTTTTAAAGCTTACAAGAAAAATTAAAAACTTTTAAATGACAAGTGGTAAAGATATAGGACCAAGTGCATGAGATCTTATGACCGTTGACCTTGAATATAGGTCAAGGTCAAAGGTCAAGGTCATTGGAAAAGTAGAGAAATTGTCAATTTAAGCTTAAAATCCAAATGACCTTGATGTTTGACCTTGAAATTTGACATTGACCTTGACCTCTGACCTTGACCCTTACTTAGAGGTAATAAAGAAATATTCATTACCTTTATCGAGATTCAGCTTCAAGTGTTAATCTCAAGTTTACCTCTGTTTCTCTCTCTCTCTCTCTCTTTTTTTTGATGACCTTGACCTTTGACCTTGATAAATGACCTTGACCCTTGACCCCATTGACCTTAAGGTCACAATCAAGCTAAAGGTCGTGGAGGTATTTACAACCATCACTCTAACAAATGCTTATAAAATAAACCCCCCCCCCCATAAAATAAAATAAAATCAACACAAACTTAGAGAAAATGTCTACAAGTCAAACGAAACGAAGTATTGACATAAGATTCGTAATAAAAGGAAGAAGAGACCTGAAAGAAAGTGTCCTGAGAGTTTTAAGGTGACTTTAAAGTATAATGACATTTTAGTGAATATCGGCAAAATCTGCATTTTTTTTTCTGTCTGAAATTAAGTTATTGCTGAGCATAAAAATTAATTAAAGCTCGTATTGGCTATTTCTGCAATTTTGGTTAATATCATTCGATTCTCCTGCTCTATTACGACATTTTAATACCAAGTATTCTTGCGTTCCTTAGGTGTATGGAATTTATTTTAATTTTATTTAGATTTAAATATGAATCGGCTGAAACTCGGAAATAGCGATTTTTCATATAAAATAAATTTGCACGCTCTCCGTGACACCGTCTTCTTCATGAAATGCATGTTTCAAGTTTAATTTATGCTCATAACTATTAATTCAATCCAAATAGAGATGATTATTTAATCTAACCTCTGAGTTTGCCATTTCTGTCAAAACGAACGCGCCTATATTTTCCCAAATTGTAAACACAGTGCCGACACGGAAGTTCGAATGTATCTTAATCTCTGTATGATTAACTAAATCTATTCAAACTATAAACAAACTCAAATGATTTCTTTTTATAGGAAATCTCCATTTTCATTATCCACCAATCGTTTCTCTCAGAACTATTCATTATTCCTCTCTATGTTCCATCACAAACAAATAAATACACGTGTTTCTGTACTATTTTTATTTAAATCCACGTGCTTTCATTTCTTCTTTTTTCTACACTCTTAGTTTACGGAAAACAATTTCATCGGAGCCTGTGGTGTAGTGCATAGAGCGCTCGCCTGGAAATCTGAGGGCTGAGGGTCCACAGTTCGAATCCTGCTGGCAGCACTTTTTAATTTTTTTTTTTTTTTTTTTTTTTGTTTTTTTTTTTGCGTTTTTTTCTTTTTTTTTACAATTCAAATGACACAGAAACACTTAGAAAGGTGGAAATGACCTCTAATTGTTCTCTGAACAATTAGTTTACTAGTTTTGCATTTGTATTCCATACAAACTGAGAAAGAGGTATATAATTTTTATGCTTATCACAATATCTTCAATTAAGGTAAATTACCAAGGAATCCAGCAAGTGATCTAAGGTTGTCTGGGTCTTCATTAGTCATGAGCCAATAAAATTGATTATCATAAGTTAGAGACTGAAAATTTTTACATTTAATTTTACGAATATTTGAGTTCAAGTCTTTGTACATTAAGATGAGGATATACAAGGAGAAAATGAATATCATCCTGAATCTCGTTGTGATGACAAAGTGAACAAATTCGTTCCTCTTTAGGTATTTTTTGGTACCGTCCAATTTCAATTTTTAGCCTGTGAGCAGATATTCTTAATTTTGTTACAACTTATCTATGTTGATTGTTTGTAAGAATATCTAGATAAGGTTCAAAACAAAATTTAGTCTTTATGCTGGTAAAGGTAGACAATTTGCCATCTTTATGTAAATTCCTGTCTTTTCATTTCTTTCTTTTCTTTATATTCCATGACGAATAAACAATGCTTATTACTTATATTTGCATTCTTTGATGTAGTCAATAATATCAGAGGAGGAAATCCTTGCCTACATAAGGACGCGGCTTATTGTCTTAAGATTTCGCTCGGTGTAGGGACATACGTACTGACGGAAATGGCAACTCCTTTAGCGCCTTTATTTGCTCAAAACTCAAACACAACACTGTAAGTTTTTCAGACTATTCACAGAGTCTGTTTTCTGATAAATGTAATCTGTTCTTTTTTTATGAGAATGGATTGAAATAAATTTTAAAGCATACTAAAGAATATTTTGGTATACACATGTACAATATGTACATTTAGAGTAATACATGTATCATTTAAAATGACATCAGTTTACGCCTTTGGACAGCCCTTGAAGATAGGGTTGCTGTACAGCAACCTGCTTATGAAAACTCCATGACCACTTTAAGTGTACATACACTCAACAATCTTGTTTTAAATGTCATTAGCTTTAAAGGTGAATATCATTTAAAGTATTGTAACGTATTTCCTTGAATGATTCAGATTTATTTTTAAATGCCTGAACGTTTGCAATTAAAGTATGTCATATCAATCAAGTTTTCTCGATTAAACATATGTAATACCCACCGTTGTTCTGACCTTCTCATACAGTATCATTTTAAATCTGTGGAAATAGTAATAATCCTTATGTTCATTCTCATCTGCTAATTTTGCATACTGCTCTTCCGCCTCATAGCCAAAGGCCACAAACTTTCTATTTTCATCTAACAAGATTGTCGTAGATGTCTTGCAAGAACTAGGCCCATCTAAAACATCCCACGAAGGACAATATACTTTTGTAGGGTCTTTGGTCAACTCCCGTTTCATTCCAAATGCATAGCCAGAATAAGTTGTGCCGATGTGTATGGATGCTACCAGAAAATCTGCACCATCATCAGCTTTCGCCATTCTACAATAAAACAATTTTTAAGGAAGTACTGAACAAGTAGTTAGGACAATTTTTCATCAAATTTTATATTTCGTTCTAAATACAAAATCTTTCGTATCACGAAAGAAATCCACCCATACATGTTTACCCACATAGAGAATGTTGCAGTTCCTTTGTTATCTTCCCTTCATGTAACTAAGAAAACATTTCTACGAGGGCTGTTCAATAAATGATGCACTCATTTCTATGACATACAATTTGGATACCTTATGACATTCAGCTTGACTTTCTTTCATTATTGAATCTTTAATGAATTGATTACAATTTATATGACCACTTTTCCTCAATAGTTTGATTGTGAGAAGCTGGGAAACAAGGGCTATTAGAGGCAATGCCTTTAAAATGAATGGTAAAGAATCTGTAAACTAAAGTGAAAAATCAACGCTTCATTAAAGCTGCATGCTGTAAAACTTGTTAAGAATCGCAAAGAAATATTCGCTGAAATTTGTGAAATTTAGGGCAACCAATGTCTGTTTTATGTACAAACGAGCAGGTGAATTTCAATGAAAAAAATGATAAAATGGGCATCAAAAATGGACACCGTCCTTGGCGACAAGAAATTATGACAACCAATGCTCTGTTTGCAAAATTTCAAATAATTACTGATGATGTATGATTGACTTTAAGACACATAGCAAATTTGATAGACATCATTTTGGGAGTAGTTCACACTGTTTTCAAGTAATATTTGACAGTTAAAAAAATCTTAGTACTCAAAGGTCACCTTATGTGTTGAAAAATGAGTGAAAACGACAGCATGTAACAGCATCTAAACAATTATCTTTAAAAAAATAGAAATTGTAGTTATCTACGTTTGTCGAAACTTGAATCTATTGCTAAAAACCCTCAAAACCAAATAAACCACAAGTTTGGCTTTCCAGAAAGCCTGAAATATCATCTCTTTGGTATCAATAATGTCAAAGAAATAAAACAGAAAGGGAGATATTTTAATGCAATGAATATATGGATTATTACACCTGAAGTTCCCAAATGACTTATTCAGCAAACTCCACAGTAAAGTACGCAATTTCTTTTGGCCCCAGTATATATATATATGGAAAGCATGGACGTCTGCGAGAGCACCCAAGGCGATTTTTGGTGAAATTTCATTCTAGCGGTCTTTGTGGTTCTTGATGTTTACAATTTACTTAAATTCAAATACTTTCCTTGAACTATATTTTCTTAACACAATACGGAATTATCAACAATAATTATCATTCATTTAAAAGCAGCTAATCATTAAAGTTTGACAGGAATTAATTTAATAAATCCAATTACAGACTAAAAAATTAAAATAAAATTAGCGTTGACCACTCTTCATTCATTTTTTGCAGAATCTAATTGTAAGCTTGTTCTTTCGTGCGAGAACCAGTTTTCCCTTCCCGTCAACAAATCTATATATAGAAATCACGTCATTGTCAATTCTCCTTGTGTGGCTTACCCATTTAATAAGGCATAGTACTGAGGATCAATATATATACGACACACCGAAACTATAGATATTTATAAGCATCGTACTTCTTTTCTAAATTTTCCTTGGCTTTCAAATAGGCCTAAACCGAAAGTAGATCACACACTCCTAAGCTAGTTCTTCTAAAAGAAAACCAGTTTACAGGCTACTTGGAACTCTGTAAAACATCGAGGACTCCCGAAAGATTAATGGAGGCTTACACTATAGTGGACTTCACTTCCGGCATACAATCTTAATGTGTCATCTCCCGAGGGAGATGACAATAAAATGCACTTGACAAAAACAGCAAAGGTCCGAGAAGAGCATATAATTCAAGAGCTCAAAGATAGATTTAAATGCCATTTTCGTAAATATTAGTGGCCTGTGGCAACGCACTTTGAAAAAATTAATCACTTTGAAAAAATTTTTCAAAGAGCGTTAAAATTGGGACATACTCAACGCACTTTGAAAATTTTTTTCAAAGTGCGTTAAGAGTTTACATCAATATATTTACCATGGATATACTTAACGCACTTTGAAAAAAAAAATATGTAAAATCTAAAATTCTGATTTTAGATTTTAGTATTGGAAAGATTCTATTCCAGTGTTATTTATCTTTCAGTAAACTTATGAACTGATTTACTCCCGTCGAGAAGAGGAGAAGACGGGTACAAGATCTCTCAGATTAACTCTTTCTCTTTCAATATAAAGGCGTCGGTAAACAATAAAACGGGGGAGGGGAGTAATAAACCCACAAAAAGGTAAGCCGCATTTTCCATGCCTATATGATGCATATCTTTCCAAAAAAAGTGGAGAGGGGGGAGGGCTAAGCTCCCCTACCCTTGCCCTTCGCCCGGTTATGATGCCTATGCTATACCCAAACAATTGATATGTATTTACATTACCGGTATGACGTTGAAAACAATCAATAATTGAATTAACTTAAAACAGTTGAAAACTAGAATTTTATAAGTACAGTAAAACGTATGAGAGAAAAAGAATTTTCATAGTCTTGGAAAATCAAATTACCCCTATTTCTTAAGATAAATGAATTTCCTTAAGTAAAATTCACTTTTACCCCCCCCCCCCCTCCCCCGCCCCACATACACACACATCTACTAATTCATACTAGAAATTTTAAATAGAAACGGAATAATGATATTAAACAATCATCTATCTCTATTTCCCTTTTACAATATTTATCAAAACAAGCTAATTCAGAGAATTCGTGTCCCCCGCTTAGGGAAAAAGTCGGCTCCCCCTGACTGAATTTGTAGAATTATTAAAAGTATACATGTATACTGAAGGAAATAAAATACATGTATGTCAATATGCATATAAAGATTTGATTGCTTATTCTTTATCATGTGTATAGAAGATTTTTTTATATGGAATATTTATCACACTGTAATGATGATTTTATAACCTCATAAATTTTTCATTTCACATGCTGAATACTATCATTTAGTAAAAAAAAAAGTATTTAAAAAAAAAAAAAAAAAAAAAGAGAGGTTCGACCGAGATTCGATCCCGGGACCTCTCACATTTGAAGCGAGAGACATAACCACTAGACCACGGAGTCGCTTTACACGGAAAAAAGTATATGCAGAACTGAGGTCACATACATGTATATATTCATGTTTTCATGTTCGGTATTCTCAAAATTTTACACAATCCATGGTGTTTGATTTATTTAGCCTTTATTAAACAGTTCTAATAGATGTAATAAGAACATAAAGTCCGCCGAGAACCTGTTTTATACGCAATAACTCTCCTCATGCCCCTGAGCTAAAAATAGCGACATGTAATACTATAAATACTAATAAAACAAACGGGGCGAGGCAATTTGAGAGGGGCTAGAGACGTCCTAGGGAGTTTTGGTATAAAATTACATTGCATAAGCTCAAAATCTTCTTGAAATATCGCCCGGAAATGATAGTGTTACACACAGACAGAATGTATAAATTTACGACCTTGAACTTTGACCTTTTGACCTCAAAATCAATAGGGGTCTTCTTTAGGCCACAGGGAGTTGTTATGTAAAATTTCATTGCAATAGCTCAAATGGTTCTAGAGATATCGTGTGGAAACGAAAGTGTTTTAACAGACAGAATTTGCTTATTTATGACCTTGACCTTTGATCTTTTGACCTCAAAATCAATAGGGGTCTTCTTTAGTCCATAGGGAGTTGCTATGCTAAATCTCATTGCAAAAGCTCAAAGGGTTCTCGAGATATCGTGTGGAAACGAAAGCGTTACAGACAGACAGAAAGACGGACGGACGGACGGACGGACGGACGGACAGACGGACGGACAAACCCAAATTAATATCCCCCACTTTTCAAGCGGGGGACAATATCACGGTGTGATTTTTGATAAAAACAATTATAGTGACATTTAGCAGACTTTGTAATATACATTTAATTACTAGTAACTATAATTACTTTTAACATCTTGAAACACTATAATTATGATAATTACTGTGCAACTCAATGTGTCAATTTAAGCAAATTTACTCAACGTGGCATGAGTTTTACTATCTAAGCCATCTGTCACTCATGCTCAGAATATGCTAATTGCCATTGTTATATTTTATTATTTATATGTTACATGAATCATTGTTAATCAGTTAACTCCTAGGCTTCGGATTGTTCGGGTGCCATTTTTGGATTTCCAGAATTCACCCTACCGACCTAAGTTTATAATAAAGTGCTATTCCATCGTTAGCATTTTTAATGTTTTATTGTTGCCGGAAAGTTTGACACTTATTTTCCCCGGTGATAATTTGGTGGAGATATCCTAAGGGTATAACACCCGGGACTGCTGCATATATTTTGTAGCAGTTTGATCCTGAGTACCATCACTTAAGCGAGTTCCCCCAAGACGACCCATCTTCAACAACACCATGCCAACCTGGAGAAAAGGACTTTACCGCTCCTCCCTAACATCTAACCAGCGCCATTGTCTTTTGCGTCCTTGGATCACACCAGGAACAGCACGAATTTTCTCGACACCAGGATCCATCCCACGGTGCTATAGGTGCGGGAAACACTTCTTCGATGGCCACCTTCTCACGTGTCCAGCTACACGTTTCGAGTGTTTCGTGCACGGAAAACATGGTCAATATGCACAAGTATGTTTCTCTTCTGCAACCACACCTTACCGTTCCTCCCAAAGGAAATCATTTCCAGTGGCGTCCATCGATCACGCACCGATCAAAAAGGATCAAGCCAAGGGGTCAGGACGGGCCTGCTTGAATACAAACCTGGAAAACCCGTCTGTAGGATCGTCTGACAACATGTCAGCAACAACATGCGATTCTACTGCAGGTGTGTGTTTTTCTCGGACTGCTACCAAATCTAGTCCGATGAGTGTTGCTGTTGCGGAGACGCAAAGGAAGAGCATACTTTGTCCGCAGACTAAGTCCGTAAGCAACTGGCGCAGGGATTCAAGAAGAATAAGGGATTATTTCGATAGACTGCAGAACGAAGAACAATCAACTCAACCAAACG